ATGATTTGCGTATGGGTCTCTGGACTCCGACATACATACGTAAATGCTATGATGGATGAGTCACCGCCGCAGCAATTCACAAATTGGTCAGCCAGTCAATTCAGGGACTTTTTTAGAGTTGATCAACTTTTCTTTGTTAGCGACCGTGTGATTATTAGCATACACGCATTTCAGCCAAGGTTCATCACATATTGAATCAAAGATTAATGATAAAAAAAAGGTTAAAATGCGATGCCGATTGAAAATGGTACGTTTTATGTGTACCACTGAACAACTCCGCCACGCGATCAAGTGTTTCCGTAATTTTATGATACAGTGGTGGATTTGAATGCAATTAAAAATTGTTAATATAATTTGGGCGGCGTATCTGGCATACTGAGTAACAGTTAAAATCGTGATAGTAATGGCGAAATTTATTTATTAATCAAATCAATTTTATATTTATCGTTAATCTTCTTATTATCGTAATAAGTATTTTTTTTCTGGCATGAATGTTGTATGTAATATAAATATTGTCGTTTCTCGTTCCGGAAATTCATTTTACAAACAAACCCTTAATATCCAGGCACTCCCCTCTCTCTTTCACCCCCATTAATAACCTAAAAAATTTTTTTGCGCAACGTTAAAGTGTGCGTACGTGTGTCATCGTTGAGGTGGTCAATTACCACAAAGTTATCAAACGCATCACAACGACGACACAAGGTAGGTTTCTTTTTTTAGGTATATTCGCCTTGTTACACACACCCGAGCAGCTCCATTTTGTCATCCCATTCAAAGAGGCAAGTTAGATAGTCACTCAACATTCGGTCTACATCGTTTCAAATCAAAAAAGATAGCCCTTGCCTTGTACCCGCCGTCCCTCACTTCTTCTGTCCCTTCTTTTTCCCACTAAAAAAATAACTAATTATTTTCTTTACCTCTTGTTATCTCCCCATCTCCTCTTCCCTTGCAAAATTTTTAAAAAACACACAAAATAGAAACCAAAAAATTATATGTGTTAAAAAAACTAACTTAAAAAAAACTATACAAGCAAAAAAAAACTCTTAATACTACCAGCTAATATAACGCGCATGTTAAAAGCGCAAAACCATTGACATTGCCCTCAAGATGCAAGCAGCTTCACTTCCAAACACTCCCTCGATCCTTACCCACTACCCGCGACCGCTAGACAACAACTTTCTCAACATACCATCAATCATTACTTCCCCTTCCATAACTACTCCTGCTTCGGACACCTTTCTTTACAATTTACAAGAACCTTTAAGCAGTCCAATTTCTCAGGCAATCTCTGCCCCTGTTACCCCTACGAGCAGCATCACCCCTGGCTTTTCCGCTCAACCACCTAGAAGAAATAACAAAGGAAATCAGAATGGCAACACTGACTCTAAATCCAACGGCTCGAAGAGTAAGTATTTCTAACTTTTACTTCACTGGATTGATTTTTGTGTGTGTGTGCAATAAATCGGAAAGCAAAGTAAAGGACGAAATAGCTTACTGCGTATGCTTAATTGTGCAACATATCTTTTCGATATGTTGCTTCATGACGTGTTTATTTGCCAAATTTATCAAGCTACTTGTAATTTTCTCGGTGGATTTGTCGGAATTTGAAATCTTGGCCAATAGAATACCTTCTCTCATTATAATCCGGATCAGTCATTCGACCGTTTTATATCAACTATTTGCTGACTCAATTATTATACTTTTGACTTTTATCGATCATTGACTTACATACATACTGGGATTCACACATTCGATATTACCTTTCGTTCTCCTTATATTTCATTTTTTAACCTTCTTTCTTTCTTCTCACACATGACTTCCACAGGCAACAGCAATCTGGCACATATTCCTTGCAAGTTCTTCAAAAGTGGTGCATGTACTGCCGGCAAAAATTGTGTCTTCTCGCACAGCAAAGACCCCCCATCCGATAATTACGTGTGCAAATACTTTTTGAAAGGAAATTGCAAATTCGGAAGTAAATGTGCTCTCTCTCATAACTTGCCAAATGAGCGCAAGCCGAGTACCAATGGAAGAAATGGGAATGGTAACGGTAACGGTATCAACAAGAACGGATCGAGAACTAATAATATTCAAGAAATCAGATCCCCCATCATGCCTCCCCAAGGATACGGACAGGATATCAACGACTATCAGCCTTTGAACTCCCCTGGGATTCCTTTTACTCGTATTCCAATCAGTCCGTCGGAGTATTCAAACAATAATAGACCCTACAGTCAACTGACCGCCTCCTTGAATGAACACAATCCATTTTCCGATGAAAATTCGACTGCGCCTAGGTTGCGCAATGCTCCAACGAATTTTAACGATCATTTGTCCGCCCCTGTAAACATTAATGGTCAACAACGCCGGTCGTTACCAGACATATTCGCTTTCGACAATTTCAGTGGAACTTCTCCTTTTCAATCCGGAGGAACGAAATCTCTCTTCTTACCCGTGTCTGACAATGGCATGCTTTCTCCAACCACCAACTCCCACCAACTTCAGAGCATTCCGGAAATTCATGATTATCAGCATCATGATGAAACTCTTGTCGATGAATTGAATGCTTTCGATTACGAGGAATTTCTTCCTTCCTCTTTAAATGAATTGCTGACACCTATGGAACGTGAACGACGTCGTAGTAGGCAGGAGGAGGAACGTGAACGGCGTCGCAGCAAACAAGAGGAGCCCGCTGAATTAAGTCCTAGGCGACTGTTCAGTAATTCCTCTACCCTGCATCCGATGCATATAGACGGTTCTCATCTTAATTACTATAATTCTCATATCGATCCTACGCATGTTCACTTCGGTGGGAGGTCTTTGCCTACCGGCGTCAGTGTGGGGTTGGCTTCCAACTTCTTAAATCAAAACGATGGACAACAACATTTGAACAACAGATTCGGTGGTCCACATCCATTCTTCACGGGTAGAAATATTACCATCAATACGAATTTTGATGAACCCCTCTCTCCGATGAGTCCTTTGCATCCTCTTAATAATCAAAATCATATTCCTTATCCTCCACCCACATATACAAGCCCTTTTCCTGGTACAACCCCCGCCATAAACATACCCCTACCTCAGGAATTTCATCCTGAAAACAATTCTTTGTTTCATGTGCACGATGTTGGTCCGATACGCAGACCAGGCGAAACAAATAACGGTAATGATCACACGACGCCGACCGATCCTTTCAGTCCTTTCCCGGATGAAGAATTCGTTTTCAACATGGACAGTGATAAAAGTGAACAAACTCTCGTGCCAGAGACTTCTTCCGCAAAAGCAACTGAAACACAAAAGACACCTCTTTCTTACTCTGCAATCACCAAGGCAGGTCTGAAGGACACAGGAACTACTTCCGGACTCAGTATAGATTCGAGGCGTTTTGAGCCGGTTTGTTGATATAAATATATATATAATTTCAAAAAAAAAAAAAAAGAAAAAAAAGAAAAATATATATATATATATATTTTTTCCCCGTTTTAGGGTTCACATGTATAATATATCCATTCTCTCTAGTGAACTTTATATATATTTCAAAAAAAAAGATACAAAAAAATACGCTTGTTTATATTTTGGGAGGGCGGTGTATTTCTTCTCTCTTTTTTTATTACTCTTTGTATGGAGATATAAAAAATAAAATTATATAATAATATTTTTGCCTAACAATTATGAATATCAAAATTTCTTTTTTTTTTCTTTTCGATTGTCTATCGGTTTTTTATCATGTTTGGCAAATCGTAGCTGTGCCCATTCGGGATGGCTGGAAAGTGTCGTTATGGCGAACGCTGCCAATACCTTCATGGCTTGATGTGCCCATCATGTCTCAAACATGTGTTGCATCCATACCACACAGCCGAAGAGCATAAAGGTAAGCCTATCAGAAGTCATTCCCGATGTTCTCATTTAAGCCAGAATGTTGGTCTCATGTAAATTTCTCTTGACATTTACTCGTGTTTAGAACACATTGATGAATGTAGTAGCAGGCAAATTCAGACTATTCAAGATATCAGACCAGAAGATATTGAATGCGGAATTTGTTTTGAGAAAGTATTAAGCAAGGATGACGCTCGATTTGGATTCCTGGGTGAGTCAATAATTCAAGTATGCACATAACACCTGAGTTTAGTACTTTGAATAAAAACCATTCGATATTTAGACTGCGAACATGCATTCTGTCTCCAATGCATTCGTCAATGGCGCTCCAACATTTCTCAAGACAACCAAGTGATTCGATCTTGTCCAATTTGCCGTACGCCTAGCCATTTCATCACACCATCCACCACTTGGATTATCGATCGTGCTGAAAAACAGAGGGTTATTGATGAGTACAAACAAAAATGCAGGTGAGATATGTATTATCAATAAGATGATTTCGATGGATTTTTTTTTTAATATATTTCTTTTCTTTTCAAACAGTACCATTGCATGTAAACACTTCAATTATGGCGATGGTCAGTGTCAATTCGGATCTTCCTGTTTCTACGCACATGTCTA